TGGTGGTGGCCATGTGGAGGACTCCGCAACATATCCATGTTGACGGGGGGAAGAAACATCTCCCGCTTCTCCATGTGGATGACAGAGAAGGTGTCACCCTACTTTCATCCCCTTTCGTGGTGACAGGGAGGACGCCGCCCGTCTCTCCCTGTCAAAGAAGGAAGTCTCTTAAAAGTTTTCCAGAATGCATGGAAACGCAATCCAGAAAAATAGTGGGGCAGGAAACTTGGAGTTTATTTTTGGTGTTGGTGGGTGTCGGCGGTGATGTGGAGGAGCCACTGGTGACAGCTGTACACGTGGGGGTTGCTGTGTTGGTGGTGCTGTGGTTGTGGTGATGTGTTGTGGTGATGTGTTGGTGGTGATGTGTTGTGGTGATGTGTTGGTGGTGTTGTGTTGGTGGTGATGTGTTGTGGTGATGTGTTGTGGTGATGTGTTGGTGGTGATGTGTTGTGGTGATGTGTTGGTGGTGATGTGTTGTGGTGATGTGTTGTGGTGATGTGTTGTGGTGATGTGTTGGTGTGTGTGTGTGTGTGCGTGTGTGTGTGTGTGTGTGTGTGTGTGTGTGTGTGTGTGTGTGTGTGTGTGTGTGTGTGTGTGTGTGTGTGTGTGTGTGTGTGAATAAATGAGAACTTCATTCAACTTCCATTTTTAGTACCCAATATTGAGGTCTGGTCTGGCTCACATAGCTTTTTGTCATCTCTTTTCCGAAAACCAACATGAATCGTCTGTGGAATTTCTCACAATTACTCTATAGACTTATTCTGTGAATGTGTCCTTTATTTTACTTAATTTGATCATCTATTCCTTTTCTATTATTTCATTTGTTATACAAATTTGACGCAGGGGGAGGTTTCCATGTGATTTACTACGTCATATTCGAGACTACCTCTCAGCTTCTCACTCTGACATATACACACTCCTGAACCTCTAATATGATTGTTTTTTCATCTTCTAGCTCCAGTAGTTTTTGCAAGACCTCATGTTTGAACGATTTTCATCCTTACATCTTTATTAAACCTTGGGTTAATCTTATCTTTTCTCTTTTTCACCGCGGAAAGAAAAAAAAGGCTTGTCGGCTTCTTCCAAGAACTTCAGGAAAATCGTTTCGTAATGTTTTGTGGGGATTTACCCATCGAATTTGTTTTCCCCTCTTCCTTATAACAAAAATGTTCTGTCTGGTAGTCTTCCATCTTCTGATCCTTTACAAGAACGACTACCCTTACTTTTATAAGATATTAAAACCTTAGGAAACAGTGTTTGAATATACGCAAAAGGGGGCTCCACAGTTTGATTTTCCTAACGTATTTCACTGAGCGTAAAGTACTCTTTATCGGTACATTGACATACTGGATTAGTAAGTTTCTCATGACTGCCACCATTAGTTTAACCCTCCATGACTTGTGCCCCTAAGAGGCTCCCTATTTTCCCAGTCTATGTTACCATGGGTGAAGTCACCCATGATTGAGAAATATTCCTATTTACCATGCGTGCAACCTTCTCTACGGTATAGTTAGTTGCTGTATTATTTTTGACGTTCTCGTTTCCTGGACTTCAGTATGGTGGCAAGTTGGTGCTTTAGGAAAATCCTAGTGTGTGTGTGTGTGTGTAGGTTGTAGGTGGAATTATCACAACACGTTGTGTCGTGTTGTGATCCTTCTGTTGTGCTTCTCTGGTATTGCATGATTGCCTGGTTGTTCCTATATGATACCGAGTTATTCCTATATGATAACGAGTTATTCCTATAAAATACTGAGTTGTTCCTATATAGTGACGAGTTCTTCCTATACGATGTTGAGGTGCTCCTATGAGGAACCTATGAGGTGTTTATGGTGTCGAGCTGTTGCTATGTAGTGTCGAGGTGCGGGAATATATAAAATATCGAGTTGTGTTCCTATATGACGCCGAAATATTCTTATATGATAGAGAATGTCTCCTATTCCATGGCGAGTTGTTCCTATATGGTGGCATGTTGACGTTGCCTGTTGACCACTGGCAGTGTGCTGTGAAAGCTTCCGCGTGCCTCTGTTCTCGTGCTGTGTCAGTGCTGCATTAACCCAGTGATGCTTGGACCGTAGCACAGCATGCTTCTGTGTGTGTGTCTCTCTCTCTCTCTCTCTCTCTCTCTCTCTCTCTCTCTCTCTCTCTCTCTCTCTGTGGCTGGGATTCTCCAGCCACACTACCAGGTCAACGCAATTTCATAGTTGCTCCTGTGAGCCGTTACTGTCTTCTCGTATGCTGTACTAACGTTAATCATTCTTCGTAAACCGTTATACTTGTACCACCAAGTGTCACCGTTATCAATTTAGAGAAGTAATGATTTCACCGCCATGGATAAATGCCATTAGTTTCTCTCGAAACCCATTGTATTCGCTTTAAACCTTCACAGTGTATTGGTTTCTATCATGAACTATTATCTCCACAACCATTAGTTAACTACTTTCTTAATTATTTTGTCACCAGCGACCAATACAACCATTAGTTACTTGCGTGAAGCATTAATTTGTTTCACTTAACATTCATTCAACTATCAACGAAGCTTACCATTAGTTGTTCTCGTCTACCGTTAGTAATTACCATAATGGTTACAGCCATTATTTAACACTATTCAATATAACCATCAGCCAGGCTACTCTCATAAAGCATTATAGATCTTAAAAGCTTTTCCATTTGTACTTTTAATACAATATACTGTATATGTTTCTAATAAAATTTGATTTTTTTTTGCAGTTTGCAGTAAGTTGACCAGACCACACACTAGAAGGTGAAGGGTCGACGACGTTTCGGTCCGTCCTGGACCATTCTCAAGTCGTTGCTAAAGCATAAAATGGTCTCCGTTCGAAGACGAGAAAGAAGCAAATCCCTGGTGACAAACTGCGAGACTTCTCGCTCTTCACATCATCTAAGTGCGAGGAAAAATCAATCGATAAAACGCACTGAAGTGGTAGAAAATAATAGCAGATGACAGGATTGGAGCACAGGAGAAACCCTGAAAACACAAACCAAAACTGTCTCTATTTTCCGCTTGTTACAACTTGTAATAAAGTTGTTACATCTTGGCTTAACGTGTTTATGACGTATTAGAACGTTGTTACAACTTGTTATATTGGTTGTTATAACTGGTTAGGAGGTGTTAAAACTTGTTCGAACGTTGTTCCAACGTCGTAGTTTCGGTGTGTGTTTGGGGGGAAGAGAGGCATATATAACAGCGTCAGAGTTAACGCAAATTATATTGTATGCGTGCAGGTATAGAAACGCTCTACGTGCCAATGAAACAAGTTAAAAAGAAAGAAAAATTATACATAAAGTCAAATTTGTCTAAACCGGAGGAAGCGTCAACATTTGTAATGTAATTCGGGTAGAGAGTTTCCCAGGAAGAAAACGTTTGCCTGCGTTTTCGTATTCTGATAAATTTTGTTCAGCCAGCTTGTTGTTTCTGGCTTCCTGTATGTGTGTTGGGGGGGATGGGAGAGGAGTGGTGGTATGTGAGGTCGTATTGTGTGTCGTAGTTCGGTGTGTACGAGAGTATTTAATTGTATTCACCTTATTATGCTTGGGGGATGAAGCAGTCTATCTTTTGGTCCCCGTGTGAAAGCTGTCTATCATCTTTCTTAATATTCCTACGTCTCAGGCATCTCTCAATGGCGTTTTGTTTTACTGCCGAATTAGGTAAATATTTTCATCTTTATGAAATTTGTTTATAGGGCTAAATTGGGATTTGATACGTCGCAGTCATATCTCTTCTATGCAGACGCTTATCTAATATACTTTATCTCATAAGAGATATATGTAGATAGTAGATAAGAGATATGAGCCCATATCTCTTATCTTTCAATATGGGCTTCATGCAGGAGCTACATATTCCAATACTGGTCTCACAGTATTGGAATACGTAATTAAGGGCACCGTTCACAGTTGTGAACGGTGCCCTAAATTCTTATGTTTTAAGGTCTGAAAGCTACTGGGATGTTAATTGTCTTCTTTGCATAAGCCACTGATGAGAGTCTGTTGGTTCGAGCTATTGGAGACCTGTGTGGTGTTATGTCTATAAATATTAGTCTTTTTCAGATTCCGAAATCTGTTGTTCCTGAAGTCTGCTCCCTAACTCAACCACGCTCATCACCTTACATTTACTTGGTTTGAAGTCAAGCAGACATCTTTAGGACAATTCTGTCAGCTTGTCAACGTCACCTTACAACATTCTGCAAGTTTTCACCATTCCATCTCACTGAAGAATTCTTGAACCTCAACTTAAAAATAAACTCCACCCCACTTACAGAAAAATAACTCATCCCTTAAAAAAATAATACATTTTGTCCACTTTGGGAAATATAAACCCTTAAACCTTCCCCCCCCCACAATACCCAGCCTAATCTTCCTAAATGAACAGCCTAATCTCCCTAAACGAAGAGCCTAATCTCCCTAAACGAAGAGGCTAATCCCCCTAAACGAAGAGCCTAATCTCCTTAAACGAACAGCCTAATCTCCCTAAAGGAAGAGCCTAATCTCCCTCAATGAAGAGCCTAATCTCCCTCAACGAAGAGCCTAATCTCCTTCAACGAAGAGCCTAATCTCCCTAAACGAATAGCCTAATCTCCCTAAACGAAGAGCCTAATCTCCCTAAACGAATATCCTAATCTCCCTAAACGAAGAGCCTAATCTCCCTAAACGAAAAGCCTAATCTCCCTAAACGAAGAGCCTAATCTCCCTAAACGAAGAGCCTAATCTCCCTAAACGAAGAGCCTAATCTCCCTAAACAAAGAGCCTAATCTTCCTAAACGAAGAGCCTAATCTCCCTAAACGAAGAGCCTAATCTCCCTAAACGAAGACCCTAATCTCCCTAAACGAAGAGCCTAATCTCCCTAAACGAAGACCCTAATCTCCCTAAACAAAGAGCCTAATCTTCCTAAACCAACAGCCTAATCTCCTAAAACCAACACCCTATTTCGAACTCCAAGAAACAGTCCTCTACCGCTGCCCGTCCGAACATATGCAGGCCTCACCGTAGTAAAGTCGAGGACTCTGAGGATGAAGAGCGTGAGGGCCAGGTTGAGGATGACCATGACGAGGAGGAGCAACACCAGGGCGTAGAGGCAACGTCTTCGCCAGCCGTAGAGGCCCAGGCGGTACTGGTGGGGGCCGCACTGAACGGTGGTGCCGGCGCTGTTACGCTCGACGCCCCCAGCTCCGCGAGGCCCCCCTCCTCCGCCGCTGCCGCCGCCGGCCATCTTCCTGTAGAGGGGCGAGAACGAGGGTGGTTACTGGCGGCGGTGTAGACGATCTCGTGGAGGGTAGAGAGAGAGAGAGGGAGAGAGAGAGAGAGAGAGAGAGAGAGAGAGAGAGAGAGAGAGAGAGAGAGAGAGAGAGAGAGAGAGAGAGAGAGAGAGAGAGAGAGAGAGAGAGGAAGGAGAGATTATGAAGAGAAATAAACGGAAAAATATTACAGAAACGTAATACAAGACCATTCATTCTGTACCAAGATGGTCTAATATAAACACCTAGTTAAGTACACTTCTTCAGAGCTTCAGCTCCTTCCTTGGCAGACCTTGGAAGTGTACACACAAACACAGATTCCTTTGGGAAGGAATCTTTGTGAAAAGAAATAAAGAAATTCACGTACACATGAACATTTAGACAACCTATTCCATCAATCCCAAATCATGTGTTAAATAAATTGTCCCCCTATTAATTCGTTGTTTATTTTTCATAAACAATTTATTGATATCAGTTACCTTTGACGGCCAAAGGAAACAACATGTGTATATGACCAACTGAAAATTCTTTTAGAGATTAATAAATCAGTGTTGGTAAAGAAATCGAGTTTAGAACGCTTTCCAGACCATGCCACAACACGTCACAACACAGCCCACAACACCTCACAACACAGCCCACAACACCTCACAACACAGCCCACAACACCTCACAACACAGCCCACAACACCTCACAACACCCCACAACACCTCACAACACAGCCCACAACACCTCACAACACCTCACAACACAGCCCACAACACCTCACAACACCTCACAACACAGCCCACAACACCTCACAACACAGCCCACAATACCTCACAACACAGCCCACACCTCACAACACAGCCCACACCTCACAACATAGCCCACACCTCACAACACAGCCCACACCTCACAACACAGCCCACACCTCACAACACAGCCCACACCTCACAACACAGCCCACACCTCACAACACAGCCCACACCTCACAACACAGCCCACACGTCACAACACAGCCCACACCTCACAACATAGCCCACACCTCACAACACAGCCCACAACACCTCACAACACAGCCCACACTCACAACACAGCCCACACCTCACAACACAGCCCACACCTCACAACATAGCCCACACCTCACAACACAGCCCACAACACCTCACAACACAGCCCACACCTCACAACACAGCCCACACCTCACAACATAGCCCACACCTCACAACACAGCCCACACCTCACAACACAGCCCACACCTCACAACATAGCCCACACCTCACAACACAGCCCACAACACCTCACAACACAGCCCACAACCAAATAAAAATGAGTATAATTAGTAATAATAAACACAACCATGTAATTGTGTATTAAATTGAATAATAATAATAATAATACACCAATTCTGTAATAAAACTCAACCAATTAGAAAAATCCAACGTCAAATTCTTGGCCACATTCGTGTTTATCTCTTATGAAGGGGATCATTGTATAGGCTACGATAATTACACAGGCTGTACGAGAAGATTAATATAATTGGTAAATCCGTAACGAGATCGTTCCAGCCAACCCCTGCCTCTCCTTCTATCCTTTTCCCTGAGGAAAACTTCCCTCTCCCCCGTCCCTAACTGACGCTGTAGCAACACGTAAAGCGTTCAGGGGGACAGTTATGCTTCCCGTTATCGTTTATGTAAGCAGTTGCATTTGTTGCAAAGTTCAGTGTTTTCTAAATCACATTTTTGACCATCGCTTAAACGTATTCAAGATCAGCAGCAAAATGGATTTATCTCAGCTTACGTTTGTTCTAGAGAGGAACCTATACACGTATATTATATATATATATATATATATATATATATATATATATATATATATATATATATATATATATATATATATATATATATATATATATATATATATATAATATACAATCCACAATGTACACCTTCAAACACATGGGATTTTATTAAAGCAATTTAGTGCATGTTTTCTCACAAATGTCAGTTTGTTTCAATTATATTCTGGTTGATTTTAAAATTAATATTTTTCATAGTTAAAAGCTTGCAGCTGTATTGGACACAAATTTAATCAGAAACGAACAAATTCATTTGAAAAAAAAGAGTAATTAATGGGTGCGCTGGGCATCTAACCTGCCGCTTACTGTGTGTGTGTTTAATATTTGTGCCTGCAGGATCGAGTCGTTAGCTCTTGGACCCCGACTTTTTAACCGTCGGTTGTGAAATGTACCGACTCCCGATCTATTTTTTATCTATCATATCTACTATATATCTATTTCTCTAACACACACACACACACAGTATCAGATCTAAACAAATCTGTCCATTTTTATACTAGTGGTTTTTACGCATCTGAGAGTCTCTTATTATTCATGTCAGAATTGTTTTTAGCAATATCTATATTCCTAACATCACAGATATGGGGATACGTATGTCTGGTTTTTAATATCTGTATTTAACATCTGTATTTTTTTAACATCTATATTTAACGTCACGTTTTTAACATCTATATAGCTCCAAAAATACACCTATATATATATATATATATATATATATATATATATATATATATATATATATATATATATATATATATATATATATATGTATATATATATATATATATATATATATATATATATATATATATATATATATATATATATATATATATATATATATATATATATATGTATAAATATATATATATATATATATATATATATATATATATATATATATATATATATATATATATATATATATATAGTTTGTGTCAAGTGCTATAGTTGCGAGTAACTAAAAAAAAATATCCATCTAGCAGGATGGTTGGCTATACAGGGACATATATCATTAGAGTGCGTCCTGTACGTGGCCTAGTTGACCCGGAAAAGTCTACGTATTCTAGACTCCCGATTTCAATAACTCTCCCGAAGGTCTACGTGAATGAAATGTTATTTATTTTCTACGATATTATGGATTTGCATTTCGTGATGTGGATGAAAGCTGTGTGTTTTCCACTATATATCTTTGAAGTACTTCACCCTTCTCATCTCACACAGTTTCTACCTCCCTTCCCAGCTGCACCCATATTCCACTTTCTGCCCCCACACTACCCATGCCACTTTCTGCCTACCACTGCACCCATCTCACCCACTTTCTTCCCTACCACCGCCCATCTCAGACAGCGTCCCGGCCGCCTAAAGATGTCATAAGTTGGAGAGGTAATGAGAGGAGGAGCGGAGATGAACACAACCTAATCACTGTAATCTCCCTCGGGCGACATCTTGATTGCTAACTACCAACCTAAATAATCCTCTTAACTTGAAAATTATTCAATAATTTTTACACTGCCAACTGTTTAACTCTTTCTTTTCATATGTATAGTAATCAATAGCAAAGTTGATGAAAATAATTAAATAGTTTTGCACTTTTAACTGGTTTACGATTGATTTCATTTTATGTAATATCAAATTTATAGATGATTGATTTATTTTATACAGTCAGTGTATTATGTGTGTGTGTGTATTAAGCTTATGCATTTCTCTCGGGTCCCAGCTGGACAGTAGAGCGACGGTCTCGCTTCATGCAGGTCGGCGTTCAATCCCCGACCGTCCAAGTGGTTGGGCACCCTTCTCTTCCCCCCGTCCCATCCCAAATCCTTATCCTGACCCCTTCCAAGTGCTATATAGACGTAATGGCTCGGCGCTTTTTCCTGATAGTTCCCTTCCCTTTCCTTTCCGTCCCTTCCCTTCTGGTCCCTTCCCTTCCCTTCCCTTCCCTTCTGGTCCCTGCTTAACATAACCAAAAAAATCATTCAATGATAGGTAAACCAATTATCAGTAGAGGTAAAGTCATATGGTTATTCAGCACTTGGAAGGGTTATGAGAACAGCCTAAGAAGAGTGATACGAGGCGAGCCCAAGAGCTAAGGCTATGAGGATCGAGTGAAGGAAGTAAAAATTTAACTGAACCATCGGGAATCGAACGCGGACTCTGCAAGACGCAAATGTGACGCTGTACTGACTTATTCATGGACATATGGTAACTCGTGATACACAAGAATCAGAGTTATACAAAAGTAATTATACATTTATACATAATATTATACATTTAATGTGTATAATAAAGAACAACACTTTTGGCCCTATTTTTCATACCCTATGCTTTAGATTACATCAAAGTTTGTAAAGCTCTGTACATTAAAGTTTAGAATAAAGTTCTGAGGACCAAGTTACGACCTTCAGTCACCTGGCTACACAAATGGACGAATTATTAAAAAAATAGAACTACGTATAATTCGGGTTCCGACACCCCCTCTCCCCCCACCCCTCACCACCCTCTCCCTCCCCCCCCCCCCCACACACAACCACCCAAGTCTGTAACCTAACAAGTAATCACCAACCATCCCCAACCACCTCCACACCAAAATGAGGACCCGGAACCACCTTGAACCACCCATTAAAACCCTACAAGCTGACCATATCTACCATCCTAGCTATGGTAGGATGGTAGACGAGTACACCACTTCAGTCAGGGAACCACCATCGTAACTACTACCACCGGAGCCCCTGCCCCCCCTGACAATAGCCAGAGGGTGGGAGTGCCCGAAAGCAAATTGGTCTAATTAGGAGGTTTCGTCGCAAAGGAAAATGTGAGTACATGACACTCGTTAATTAGGGCTCTTCCCGCAGGATCTCCCAGAGTTGTTGCAGCCACGAGTCTGCAAGTTCCGGCCGGCGTATAACAACACCCGACCTGCAGTCTGAAATTCCAGGAACTTGTCGTGTACCAGAGAGAGAGAGAGAGAGAGAGAGAGAGAGAGAGAGAGAGAGCTGCGATGGTGTAGCAAAAGCCAACTACTAAAACAATGGAGTGGACAGCGGACAAATAGGTAGAGACATTGGAGTACACGATCGGTAAAATGGTAAGGTATAACCAAGAGCTGAAGCTCGACCATACATGCAAAAATAA